AGAGACAGAGACAGAGACAGAGACAGAGAGAGAAAGTTCTTACACTAAGGAGACAATACAATGTTTATATATGTGAGTCTGATTTATTTCACTTATAAATACATAGTGGCATCCAGGGGGCCTGCCCATTAGCTCAATTGTTTAAGTGACTGCTTAGACAAAGCATTCAGACTCAGATTGCTGTGGTTTGATCCCCATATCCTCATGCCTTACAAGACCGGCCTTGAAGGCACCCTGAGCCAACCCCTCTCCCCCTGCCAAAAAACAAACAAATCCATCTTTAGTGGCATCCATTTACCTATAACAGCCTCAAGCTTATCTTTCTTTGTACTTGAGTAATACTCCATTGTATGAAAAACACCACATCTTTTTTATCCATTCCTCAGCTCATAGTGTATGCTTTCCAGCCCTCCTACCATCTTAGTTAGTCTACTCCAAGATGTCAGGTTTTCATCATGCACACCATCTCTGTCCTTATCTGAAAAATTATTTCTGATTTGATCTTTTAGAGCCTCATTCAAATGCTTTGTTGTTACCACTTCAGAGGCCAGACAGGTGGCTTGCAACCTCATTACCCCCTGGGTTTGCTTTAGTGAACTGGGGGTCTGGGGTTCCATCTTGTGTGTCTTCTTTTCCTTTTTTAGTTTAATTCTTGGGGTGATGCTTATAAATTGCCTATGGATATATGTTTATCAATAAAACTTTGAAAATAAAAAAAAAATAAATAAATTGCCTATGGAGAGTTGCTTTGTTGCTAGTATTTAAAACCCTTAGGAAATGACTACTTATAAGAGGTGCAACTGGTTTGGGGGTTTTGTATCTGTTGCAAGATCCTACCTCCTCAGTTTTGGGGGTATTAGAAGTTGCTGCCTGCTTGGCCCAGCCCCTGGTTCTCTGGCACTGGCCTACAGCATTTTCTATGCCCTTAGGCAATCTCAGTCTTGGAATAGCAGGAAAAACAACTCATTAGAACAGTTATGTTGGGTCCAGGGAGATAGCTCAATAGAATAAGTGCTTGCCTGGCAAGCACAAAGGCCTGAGTTTAATCCCCAGTTCAGAAAAAAAAAAAAAGAACAGTTATGTCCTTTTGGCTAAAGTGGTTCAGGGCCAGCCAGATAGCTCAGTGGATTAAAGTGCCTGCTTACACAGACACAGGGACTGGGGTTCGATCCCTGGCATGCCTTGTGCCTGGGGCCACTGAAGCGGCAATTGAGACTGGACGTGGTGGCATGTGCCTATAATCCCAGTGCTTGGGAGGCTGAAAACAGGAAGATCACAATGAATCTGATCTATGTAATGAGATCCTGTAGACCCTGTACTAAATACAGAAAAATAAAATAAATAAAAATAAAGTGGTTCAATCAGGAATAAAAATTGCATCAAACACAGCATAGAAAATGACAAACCCCAGTTAGTACAGTCCTTCTTGTCCACTGTACTCCTCCACTGCTGCACCTGGCCCTGGAGGCCTCTGGTGTTGCCAGCAGTTGCCATGTGTCCTGCTCTCTCTCAGATGTTGGAGTAAAATTTTTCTCTCTACCGTCTGAGGACCTGTGGCTAAAAAGTAGTATTTTAAATAAAGCAATTTAACAAGAGAAAGGACACAATATTCATTAATATTTACATGCATAGGAGTTCACAAAAAAGTGAAATTCAAAAAATTAGACTATATGCTGTTTGTGATAGTCAGATGTCTATAACTGTCACAACGTAGCTGAGGAAAAGAAGTTACATGGAGCATGATATCACAGCAGAAACACATGACAGAGAGAGGAAAGCTGCAAACTTCATGGTGACCACAATGTAAGAGAGCTTTCACTTTTATGA